CACTCTTTCATTTTAGGTTCAAGCAGAGCGCAGGAAAGCATCTAATGTCTGTTCGCCTCGGTACAAATTCACAGAGCACTCAGTGTCCAATAACCAGGCTCCTGCGCTTGCTGTCTGTCTGCGTTAGCAGCACTAGTGCTTGTGTTTTGTCTCATGTTTCATTTCATTGTTTTTAGGTTTGTTTGTCATTTTCTTCTTGGACCACTTCTCTTCTCTGTCTACATGGTATCATTAGGTTCTGTCATTCAGAAACATGGCTTTTCATACCACTGCTATGCTGATGACACTCAACTCTACCTCTCATTCCATCCTGATGATCCGGGATGGATCATCTCAGCTTGTCTAACAGACATTTCTTGCTGGATGAAGGACTTATGTGCCCTCTAGAAGCTTGCATTCTGCAAGTGAACGTCGCTTTATTGTGCCATCCCAAAGAAGCACAAAATCACTTTTACAGACTTTTAAATTAAATGTTCCCTCCTGGTGGAATGACCTGCCCAACTCAATCCGAGCAGCTGAGTCCTTAGCCATCTTCAAGGATCGGCTAAAAACCATCTCTTCCATCTTTATTTGACCCTCTAAGCACTCTCTATTCTAATTCTATTCTTAAAAAAAACAAAAAAAACAACTAACACTTGCTTTCTAATCTTTTTGTATTCTATCTGTTTTCTTTTTATTTATGATATTATTTAAAAAAACCTTGTTACGTGTACTGCGTTAAGCTAACTGAGACTTGTTATAGCACTTGTATATCATTGCTCTTTTGTTGATTTTGATTGCTTCCATTGTCCTCATTTGTAAGTCGCTTTGGATAAAAGCGTCTGCTAAATGACTAAATGTAAATGTTTGTTTGTTGCATTCTGTTCTGTCTTAAACGAAGGTCTTTGAAAATAATCTAAAGATTTGTCCAAAGCAAAAAGCACTGTCACTCCTATTCAAGGTATTTAAAAGGCCAGAATGAAAAAAAAACATAAATTTCTGTGAAAAAATAATGTTTTTTATACTCGCTGTTGTTAAAATTGTATGATAGATAGATAGATGATGGACGGACGGACGGACGGACGGACGGACGGACAGATAGATAGATAGATAGATAGATAGATAGATGGTAGATAGATAGATAGATAGATAGGTAGATAGATAGATAGATAGATAGATAGATAGATAGAAAGAAACCGGCTGGACCAGCTGAAAAGAATCATTTGCTCATTAATGGACTACATTGGGTTTCGCTGTATGTAGTTGATTCACTAAATAGAATTGGTTTAAGAGACATATATTTGTTTGTGAATCAGACCACACTGTTTGCACTCTGTTTTTGATTTACTAAAATTAACCCGTTTTAAAGTCATTTGCTCATTAATCAACTGCACTTGTCACATTGTATATTTTGATT